TCCCTTCCTTCCTTCCTTCCTTCCTTCCTTCCTTCCTTTCTCTCTCTCTCTCTCTCTCTCTCTCTCTCTCTCTCTCTCTTTTTTGTTAATCCTCACCCAAGGATATTTTCCCCATTGATTTTTAGAGAGAGACAGAGAGAGAGAGAGAGAGAGAGAGAGAAACATTGATGTGAGAGAGACACATCGATTGGTTGCCTCCTGCACGCACCCTGACTGGAGCCAGGGATTGAGTCTGCAATGGAGGTATGTGCCCTAGGCCAGAATTGAACCTGCGACCCTTCAGTCCATGGGCCAGTGCTCTAATCACTGAGCAACAGCCAGGGCTCTTTTATTTCATATAAAAATTTTGTTTGAAATAAAGGAAATTAATTGGCATCACTTGAATCTATTATTCATTAAATTTACTATTTTTCTACAAAGGAACGTTTCTTGGCATGTACTGATTCCCTAATCTGGAATGCCTGCTAAAATATTTTCATTAACATGTGTTATATTTACCAGTAAAGGATCTTCCAATTTGGGACTCAGAATACTTAATTTGGAGTATACATAAAGTCAAGAGTAAATGCAGTCAGCATTTCAGCATTATTAAACATAAACCTTGATACTGCCTTACATCAGTTGCAGTTTTTGCTAGTATAATTCATTATTACTTATTCCCTTTGCATTTCTAGAGCAACTATTTCTATGAAATGTATGCATTTGGATAAAGTGCCCCAGTAGAAAAGAAGCATTTAAATTTTTTTTTAAGGCTGTGGTGTAGTGATGAGAAATTGATAAATAATCTGTCTTTACGCAAAATAATTAAAAACGTTTGTGCACGCACGTTTGATGCATGTCCCGTTTTAAAGATGTTAAGCCCCATCTGATTACCCATGTTTTCTTAAAACAGAGTGGCAGATGATAATCTTCTCTTAAAAATTAGTTAGTTGAGAGGAAACAATTTAAAAATAAAGAAGCACTCCAACCTGAAAAATCTGTATTTTTTAAAGCTGCATATGTATAAGTATAAATCTAAGTAGAAAAATGTAGCTATCATATACCAATTACACATGTTACACAGGAGGTAGGGAAATGGATGTGCTCCACATTTTAAGGAATATAATTTTGTAATGCACACTGCCATATAAGAGATTAAAAGAAAACAAAGTTTATGAAAAATCAAAACTAAAATAAGCTTATTTTTATTTCCAAACTAAGATTCTTAGCAACTTTAAACCATTTTCTAGTTGTTCTCATCAAGACTTAAATTTATCCTATTCTAACAATTAGTTTAGAAGATCCCCAAACATTCTGCTTATGAAATTGAATATTTTACTTAAGAGCTGTCCATTTCGAAGAATATACCATGTTCATGGATTGGTAGAATAAACATCATTAAAAGGTCCATACTACCCAAAGCAATCTATAGATTCAATGCAATCTTCAATTAAAATACCAATGACATATTTTAAAGACCTAGAACAAACTCTCTGAGAATTCATATGGAATAAAAAAAAAGACCCTGAATAGCCACTGCAGTCTTGAGAAAGAAGAACAAAGTTGGAGGGATCACAATACCAGATATCAAGCTATATTACCAAGCCATGGTTCTCAAAACTACCTGGTACTGGCACAAGAGCAGACATATAGACCAATAGAACAGAACAGAGAACCCAGAAATCAACTCAAGTAATTATGCTCAATTAATATTTGACAAAGGAGGCAAGAGCATACAATGGAGTCAAGAAAGTCTCTTCAATAAATGGTGTTGGGAAAATTGGACACATGCAAAAAATGAAACTAGACCACCAAAGTACACCATTCACAAAAATAAACTCAAAATGGATAAAGGACTTAAATGTAAGATGAGAAACCATAAAAATCTTAGAAGAAGCCATAGGCAGCAAAATAGCAGACATATGTCGTAGCAATATCTTTACCAATACAGCTCCCAGGACAATGGAAACTAAGTAGAAAATAAAGAAATAGGACTAAATCAAAATAAAAAGCTTCTGCACAGCAAAAGAAACCATCAACAAAACAGCAAGAAAGCCCACTGCATGGGAGAATGTT